CAGTGGCGATGAGAATGCCAAACTCATCACGCTGCATCATTTTGCAAAGGTAAAATACACTGTTATGCACAGATCATTCAGTATAGCTTGAGTGATTTTGTTCCCGTGCATAATTGGCTCTGTTTAGCAGAATTTACGGGACGATGTCAATTTTTCATTTTGGGAATGGTTCTTTGCAATCATGCAACTCATCAAGCACAAACTTCTCAAATTCTGGGATGAAGGTTGGCACTGTTTATTTGCTTTCCCCTCATTCCATCTATCAGCATCTCTCCTTTCGTCTAGATGCTTTTTTTTGTTTTTTGCGTATTTGTGCAAATGTAAAAGCACATACTGACGAGGGGTTGTCCATATTTGTTTGTTTGTGTGTGTGTATGTATATATGTTCGCATTGCTGTCACTCAGTTTCAATTCACAGCAGTCAGTGTAGATTAGAAGCTGAAATTCTCAGAGCATGTTCCCGCCCTGTACATTTAGTGAGGAAGCGAATTAGGAAGCCAATTGAATTGGGGAACTGAAATTTCTCGAGGATATGACGATGTGTGCGAATCCACGCGATCTTACTGGAGCACGAAATCATGCAAAAAAGCATAATCGCACCGGCAGGCCCGGTGCGTGCTGGGATTGATTCTCTGTTTTGCGTGCGGAATATTCCAGCGCCACTTTACGTTATAGGCTGGTTGATTGGCTTCATAAGTAAACAAAAAGCTTCATCACAAATGGTGAGCGCTCCACATTCGACCTTCTTACTTCGCTTCAGTGATACTCAGACCGGTGCAGTTAGTATTGGCTTTGTGTGCGACGATGAAGAAGGCAAAGGTCAGTTTGTTTTTTTTTTTTTTCAAAGAATCTGCAATCTATCGATGTCAGTCTCTTGTCACCGATAAGCTAGACAGCTTGTATGTACTGCATTTTTATGCCCGAGAATTGCATGATATTGATATCGTCTTATTTTCGAGTAGCCTCTAAGCTGTGTGCACAGAGGAAGCCGAGAAGCAACTTTTTTGCATCGTATACGGAGGAAATGCTTCCTCACAGCGGTCACATCACTATCGTTAGTTGGTGCTTAGACTACTAGTTTTTTTTGCTGCCGTATTTCTTGGAAATTGTGAGTTTGATGCCCTTCTTTTGTTTTTTTTTTTTCTGCTTCATTACATCTGTTCAACATAGTTATTTGTCCACGTTACGCACTATTTTTGTGTCTCTTGCTGCACTATTTCCATGTCGCTTAAGTTCTCCTGACGTCCAATTACTTTTTGGTTAGTGTTGATTAACAAGTTAGAATATTTTTTCAAAAATTATTAGTTGATTTTGTGTGAGATTGCGTACGTGGAGCAGCGTTCGGAGGCGCACTGCAGTGAAACTGTTCGGTGGGTTTATCCGTGCTTGTTGCAGTACCGTTCCATTTGTCACCGTTCTCGATCAAGGATCTCGACCAGT